TGACCAACTTAAACAGACTATAAGCTGTAACTAATATAAAGAAAAAATAAATACTAACACGATGTGGTGGTGGTAGGAGCATCCACCACAAGCTCCATCAGAGCCACAATGTTTATTTATGCCAATGTCACTTTTATTGTTAGAGCATTTTAACCTTCAGAAGGTCTTTATGACAATTCAATTAAATTAAATTCAGTTTATTTATATAGCGCCAAATCACAACAAAGTTGTCTCGGGGCACTTTACAGGAACATTCACAAACATAGAAAAGCCAATTAGTAAAGTTCTCTATCTAAGGAATCCAGCAGACAAGTTGAATCTTGGCTTTGTTGCAGTCTCCCATCCTGAGCAAGCACAGTGGCAACAGTGGAAAGAAAAAACTCCCCTGTAAAAGGAAGAAACCTCCAGCAGAACCAGGCTCAGGACAAGCGGCCATCTGCTTTGACCGGCTGGTTGAGAGGACAGGAAGGAGAGACAGACGAACACAGAATAGTAGGTCCAGGTATAGGTCCAGGTGCACCTGAAAGACAAAAAAAAAACACGTTAAGGATAGAAAAAATAATTACAAATACAAAACAGGTTGAGCAGAGTAAGTAAAGACAGTAGCAGAGTGAAAAGTGTGGTCAGTTTGTCCTCCAGCAGTCTAAGCCTATAGCAGCATAACTAAGGGACAGCTCAGGAAACCCAAGCCGACCCTAACTATAGGATTTAGCAAAAAGGAAAGTCTTAAGTCTAGTTTTAAAACTGGATAATGTGTCAGCCTCATGGTCAGAGATTGGAAGTTGGTTCCATAAGAGAAGAGCCTGATAACCATACCATACCATACCAATTTATTTATAAAGCACTTTAAACAGTGACAAAGCACACCAAAGTGCTGTATAGGGACAAACAGAACAAGCACACAGCAACAGATTACATAACAGGACACCAAAAAGTAGAAACCAACAAAAACAATAATGGATAACAACAACAACTGCAACATGACCAACACAGTGTGATGCACACAGACTCAGCACAGATCACACAGTGCAGAAAGCCAGGGAATAGAAGTGTGTTTTTAAGCGAGATTTAAAAACTGTGAGGTAGGGGGCCTGTCTAACCAGCAGAGGTAACTCATTCCAAAGTCTTGGGCCTGCTACAGAGAAGGCCCTGTCACCTCTGCGCTTGAGACGGGTTCCTGGGACTGTTAGGAGCAACTGGTCTGCTGATCTGAGAGAACGTGGTGGGACATACGGCTGGAGCAGATCAGTAAGATAGGAGGAGGCAGAGCTGTTTAGTGATTTATAGACATACAAGAGTATTTTGAATTTGATTCGAAGGTGAACCGGAAGCCAGTGTAGGGAGGCCAAAACAGGTGTAATGTGCTCCCTTTTGCTTGTGCTGGTCGAAAACCGGGCTGCTGCATTTTGGACCAGTTGGAGTCTAGCTATGGAGGTCTGACTGATACCAAAAAGGAGTGAGTTGCAATAGTCGAGCCTGGATGTAATGAATGCATGAATTACTGTCTCCAGGTTATTTTTGGACAATATGGGCTTCAGCTTAAGACAGTCGCCTCAGCTGGAAAAAGCAGGATTTAACAATCATATTTACATGATTGAGTTTCAGAGAAGGGTCAAGTATCACTCCTAGATTAGTGACTCTTTGTTTCACTAACGGTGACAGAACGGATAGGTCGATGCAGTGGTTGGTGATAGTGTCATTGGGAGGAAACAGCATAACTTCAGATTTCTTCTCGTTGAAACTCAAGAAATTTAAAGCCATCCAATCTCTGATGTCAGCCAGGCAGTCCAGTAACGGTTGAATAGAGCGAGTACCGTTGAGTCTGAGGGGGAAGTAGATTTGGCAGTCGTCGGCGTAGAAATGAAAAGGTATGTTATGTTTCCTGAAAATAGCACCTAGTGGCAGCAGGTATAAAGAAAATAAATGAGGACCAAGGATGGACCCTTACGGTACCCCCCATTTAAGCGCTGCCGAGGCTGAACTAAAATCTTTGATGGAGACACAAAAGGAACTGTCAGCGAGGTAAGATCTAAACCATTCGAGGGCTGACCCAGTGATTCTCACCCACTGCTCTAACCTCGCAATGAGGATCTCGTGGTCGATTGTATCAAAGGCAGATGTGAGGTCCAGTAAGAGAAGGAGCACAGAATCACCAGCGTCTGTGAATAGGAGAATGTTGTTAAAAACCTTGAGTAGAGCAGTTTCAGTGCTGACTGATGACTGATAACTGAAAGATCTGCCTCCAATTCTGTTTTTGTAAATTCTAGGAACCACAAGTAAACCTGCAGTCTGAGAGCGAAGTGCTCTGTTAGGAAAATATGGAACAATAAGATCTGTAATATAAGATGGAGCCAGGTTGTTGAGAGCTTTGTAGGTTAAGATTTTGAATTCTATTCTGGACTTGACAGGGAGCCAATGGAGAGAAACTAAAACTGGAGAAATATGATCTCTCCCAATAACTCCAGTTAAGACTCTGGCAGCAGCATTTTGGATCAACTGAAGACGTTTTAAAGAAATATTTGGACACCCAGATAATAAACCATTACAATAGTCCAGTCTAGACGTGACAAATGCATGGACCAGTTTTTCTGCATCATTTTTAGATCAGATGTTTCTAATTTTAGCAATATTACACAAGTGAAAATAGGTGGTTCCAGTAACGTATACAATAAGTGCTAATTAAAATTCACCACCTTGGCCAACTCTTTAAAAATACTATTTTTAATATTTTGTCCACAATAAATGTCAAACTTTTAGGGCTATTTCAGTCTGGAGAAAAAAAAGTTTCAAAGGACTTTTTTAAAAATGTTAGCACCTTAAATGTCTTTAGTTCGGCAAAACTCAAAAATTATTTTCTTAATTGATAATTTAGTTATTTGTAGGCAGTTTTTGAAAAACCTCACAGCAACGGCAAGCCTTAAAGGAAATTTTATTGGCAAGTTACAGCCTCTGGCAGCCATTTGTGTAGGAAACAGCAAAGCACTACCTAGTGATTTAATATATTAATAAATAATAAAGGGATGGAGTTAAAACAATAATAATATTTTTAAGGATGCTTAGACTTTGTCAGAAAGGGTCATTTGTTACTGGCAACATGAAAACATATTAAAAAAAAAATTACGAAAAATACTACATGCGTGGCAGATTATTTCCTCATGAGACCTGAATGTTGAAATCAACAAAGCTGTCCAAAGTACTTCACAAGTTTGATAAAAACAGCCATCAATTTAACAAATACAGTTAAATTCCAAATAAAAAGCAAACAAGTACAATAAAAAAGGCTAAACATCAACTAAAAGAAGGGAACTTCTCAATATAAAAAGACCTGATGGAACTTAAATTAAATCCAAAATAAAAATTTAAGTTTTTAGGCAGAGTTTGCTGCTGCAGTCAACAGAAACTCCTTTCTTGATGTTTCATGTCGTTTATGTGAGTATGAGCAGTGGATTGTCTCTGTGTGTCTCTACAGTTCAAGTTCCCAGCAGAGTGGAGTCTCTTCGAGCCTTGGCTCTGTCTCCAACCTCCATCCAGGTGAGATGGGAGCCCCCAGGCTTTCCAAATGGCCCTGTCCTGGGCTACAGACTGCTGTGGACCGAGAGCCCGTCAGGGAAAGAACAGGTGAGCCCCATCTGTATCTGTGTACTGTACAAACACAATCAGACGTTGAATTTAGCACCAAATGTCTCTAGCTGAGGTTTGACCATATTGAACTCCACAGAAACATCTGGAAATGTTCAACTGAAACCTTTAAATCATGCTCACCAAAAAGATTCAGTTACGGTCGGAACATGAAAACTTTTTACTTTTTGTCCACAGTTTTTGCATAATTTCTGAAAGCATAATCACTTTGTTCAATTGTGAGGTAAAAAGTGAAAAATAGCAGGAATCAGGAAAATTATTTTTTCACAGTTATAATTGCTGGTAAAATAAAACATAAAATATATAAAATAACACAATGGCTGTAGAAACATCAAACCACTTCCACTTTGAGCCAAAACTTAGCTTGAGTTTATTCTGAACAGTGTGGGGAACAGTATATCATTAATAGTTATAAAATCTGTGGTCTTGCTGTGTGTTCAGAGTGTGGAGGTCAGCGGACTCAACTACAAGATGGACGGACTCAACAAGTTCACAGAATATACCATTCGGGTTCTGGCTATCAACCGTTATGGACCAGGAACCACTTCTGAGACCGTCAGAGTCACGACCCATTCAGATGGTATGCAGTGCATTGCTTTATTTCCTCTTCCTTTACAAACATCAGCAGGAAACATATTCCTTACCTCCCTGTAGTCTTGGGGTTAAAATCTCCAGAGGCCTTCGTTTTAAAACCGGGTCATTTTGACCTTGAAGATAACAAAAAATGTTAAACGACAGCATGGAGGGAGCAGCCTGGAACAACAGTGTCTGTAAAACAAGCTTTAAGATTATGTGAATAACCTGAGTGCTGTTGTTCTCAGATCAGTAAATATTTTTAAACTAAATATTGGCAATACTTTAAATTTTTCATTCATTCAATTTTCATTCAACCTTTATTTAAACAGATAAATCACATTGAGCCTCGAAGACTCATTTACAAGTGAGACCTGTTTGGACAGACAAAAACAGTGGTTAACTGGACACATGTAGGAATTGGAGGTAAAAAAAAAATCCTATCAGACTTTTTTCTTGGCTGAGAAAAACCCCTAATATTGAAAAAACACCTCGCACAAACAAGCACATATTTACGTAGACATTCTGCAGTAGAGCAGAGCAGGAAGAAGGAAGAGACGAGAGCGGTCAACAACGCTTATAGATGCTCTCGAGGTCACTGTAATCAGTCAATGTCCTCCGGTGAGATCCATAAACATTCTCGAGGTATGTCGAGGAATGGCCAAGAATAACCCATGAGAATCCTGAGTCCTGAAATGATGACACAAAGTTTTTTCAGCTGGGTTTCATCTGGTTATCAGTTGGAAATTCCTCAGGGAGGGGGTGGTGAGCGTCAGATCACATTTTCTCCAGGCGAAATTCAGATAAGGTGGCCTTCAAGGACACCAAGGTGACCAAAATTTAGATGAACACACCGTTGTTTTGGGGACAGGCAGAACTTAATGACATCTGCCTTGAGTCTGTGTTTGGTCCACTCGGTTCCGAAATGTCCAAAATAACATGGCCACACCGATGGAACATGACTGAGTAAAATTCCCCAAGATCTGATCCATTCAGCCCAAAGCATTTGAGTCCAGGTACTCGAGACATGAAACCAAACCATCATAAAGGCAAGCAGCGTGATCGGGTCCAAATTTGCTGCTGACGACTTCCTTGATTGTAGATAAAAACCAGGACCAGCTGAATCCAAAAAGCAGGAACCAGTTATCGTGAATCCAATTAAATATGCGTCCTTAAATTCCACAAATGGCAGCAGAGATAGACACATCATCAAGTCTTCCAGTCGATGAGATATCCAGCTGTGTACGTGCCAACAGGGCAAATCGGCTCGCCCAAAGCCTGTCTTCTCTTCGAAGAAATGCTGTAAATTGAGTTGAGGGACCAACTGGTCAGAACAAGTCCATAATTATGGTTCGGAAGAAATGCAAGAGAGTCTCAGAAGCAGTTTCACAGACAGACAGAGCAGCAAAGCGGAAAGGGAGGGAGGGAAGCATCCAATCTCGGCTTGAGCAAGTGGTGAAGTGAAATTAAAGTGAAATTAAACTCAATGTGTTGCAATTTTGTTGACAACTAAAAACAACACAAATATTAGTCACAAATATTGGCTATAAATTATTACAGCAACAAACAAGACCATTCATTGCATGATAATATTCAATTTGATATTTTTACAGTGATTAGAAGCAAATTTTAAATAAAGCAACTCAACAAATATTGTGTAGTTATCGCTATACAGGTCCCTGGCTACTTCGCGGTTCATTTATCACGGACTCACTTTATCGCAGTTTTACAAAATAAGATTGGACATGACACACAATTGTCTGATTCATGAAAGAGCTGCAGGATCGGCGTGGAATTTTTATTTAAAAGGAATTATTTAGCACCTGCTGCACCTTTGTGCAGACCACACTGCAGGATAAGCTTCCTCTTGCAGCTGATCAGCTGATCTCTGTACAGAGCGGAGAAGTGGCTTGAAGGTAGCTGAGTGCAGCCGGAGGTACATAGCTGAAATCATGACATTCTGTGTTTTTTCACTTATGGCAGGGCTTCAGGGTACGGATCCCCGTTGATAAACGAGGAACTATTGTATATACTAACTCAAAATTACTCATTTAAAGTAGAGTAAATGGAAATTAAAGTCACATCAAAACATAAAACGTTGGTTACGTACTGTAACCCCAGATTCTATGAGTATAGGCGCAGCCCTTTAAGGCTATCGCTAGTGGGTTTATCCCTTCACGCGCAGCACAGCACTGAAAACTTTTGCCCGCGTCCACCGGCTGTGTGGGCCCCACCCCCGGTCCGTATAAATTACAGTGAGACCGGGTAATCGGCTTTCAAATAGCTTTTTTCTTCAGCCATTTAGGAACCAGTGAGGCCCAGAGCTTAAAGGGCTGTGCCTATACTCACAGAATCTGGGGTTACATTACGTAACCAACGTTCTTTTTTGTATAGGCTTCTCCCTTTAAGGCTATCGCTAGTGGGTTAAAGGGGAAGTAGAATGTAGTCTATGTCTCACTGGGTCCATTCAGACACAAAATGAAGCACCTGTTTGCACAATAAAAACATTTAATCACTCAGCCTTCTGTGTGCGTAATTACGTGTTGGGTAATTACGCGCTCCATGCGCAGGAGCGCACCAGAGAAAAGATCTCTGGTGAGTAGGGCTGAGTACCGAACCGAGGTTCTTTTTTGGCACCGACCGAACTGCACCGGTCGGTGTATGTATTGAAACGTCACTCTTCTTTCGGTGTCAAGTTTCACTATTGGCTGTAACGTGTCACGTGGTTTCAGCATGCAGGCAGGTAAAACACCAGACATATGACAAACAGACTACACCCAGATTACACCCAGAGCTGTATAGAGCTGCCGTACCTAATCTATGTATAATTATGTCTATGGTGCTGGTGACGCCCACAGACGGGTTCACGTGTGCAGCACGTTCGACAACACGCGCTTCAGAAAGTTGCTCCGTGTTTTTCTGCGAGGAGAGAAGAGTTCATTTGCCTCCCCCCTCCTCCTCCCCCCTCCTCCTTCTCCTCTCACCATTAAAGTCAGCCTGTGAGTAGAGCCTGAACATCCTGATTCATTATCTCCACGACCGGACTCTTCATCAAAGAACTCCGAGGACGTCTCTGTGAGTTTCAGCTGGTGAGTTACGTTTGTTAGCGTAACTGCAGCTTAACACATACAACGCGGTGAAATAAACTATGATCCATGTAACGCTAAATTTAACATATTAGTGTGTAAATTTATTTTATCTACGTAGCTAGCTAAACTCAGACGCTAACTAAAGATTGACAGTAACATAAATCTTAGCTTGTAAAAATGTGTTCATCCATCCAGTCAGCTGCTTAAACAGTTCACTAATGTTCACTGTTTATGTTAATGTTCTCCTCACAGGAGGTTCTGACCCAGATGTGAGGACAGGCAGAAAAGTGAGGTGGGGGCCACAGGACAGTCAGAATTTGTTGTTAAAAATTTGCTGCTTTTTTCTACAGTGGAGCTGCATGCTGGAGGTAAATTAAACTTTAAAGGGTTTTGTTGACCAGTTAAACCTTTATCTCTCAGCCTAGATAATGTTTTTTGATCAATAATAACACAACCATGTTATTGTTGATGTTTTGTTTTCATGTCAATTAGGGAGATGATCAGAGCCCTAAACCCCAGAGAACCCCAGAGAAGATTCAGGCAGAGACACAGGGGTGCAGATGTCTGCATCAACCCTAACATCATTGAATCCAGTGACCTGCTGGTGGGATGTGAGGGACAATATGTCAAACTGACAACCAGGAGTGAACATGTTCTACTGCTGGAGACACCATCAGCCAGGAGCAGCTGGTTTGTGTCCACAGAAAACAGACATGTTGATGTTTCTGAAGAAAAACTGTTCAGTGAAAAGGTCCTCAGTGTGTAGCAGTGACCATTAGACACTGACGTGTCACTGGTTTGTAACTGGTCTTTGAACTGGAAATTATTTGTTTATTTTTATGTAAGAAAACTGCTTGGAATAGAAAAATACCAAAGTTAAAAAATAAAACTCACAATTTGTACTGTAATGTGTAACGTAATTTTATTCTTGTTAGAATTAATAGTAATTACAAAATTGGTACCGAAAAAAGAACCGTCCAGGAACAGACACCGAAGTGAAGGTACTGACACCGATACCAATTTTTTTAGAAAGGTACCCAGCCCTACTGGTGAGGAAAAAGGCTGAGATAGCAGACCTGCTGCTGTGAATAGGAACAACGGAGGTTACGAATTGTAACAGTGTAACGATGAACAGAGCAGGCCAACAGCTCCACAGGATGAACCAATTAATAACAATAAAATCAACAGTCATGAACTTGTGACTGATAATAAATATCTCACACTGCGATTGCATGCAGGCAGGTGTGAGCTCAAAAGTGAGGCTTCATGAAACAAATAATAATCATTCTGTCAGAACCCTGAGAACAGAATGGGTCATGGAGAAAGTAGAAACATCACGTAGATAAAAACGAATAATTGAGCACGGCGATGACCAGGTAGCCGCCATACAAATATCCTCCACTGTCATCCCTCCATGCAGGGCCGTGGAGGATGAAAACTTTACTTATTTTAGATAAACTAAGTTTAAATAAACTAAAATAACGGATTCTCACTTTTTCGAGCTAATTATAGCCATGTGACAGAGGTACTGTGTGTAGATGGTTTAATCAGTGACATGAGACGTTAATTTTCTTTGACCCATCAAAATAAATTGGTCATTTATTGAACAGAATCAAAATTTAACATCAAAACATTGTACACTTGATTAGACTGATCTGGTTCTGATTAATAAACTTGGCACATTTTACTTAATAAAACAACAGACATTTCTGAAGGCTTCTAGATTAATTACTGGCAAGATAGAAGTTTAAAGATGGGAAATATGGAGGAGTTTAAAGGGAGATGTTGAAGGAAGATGTATGTCTGTAGACCAGAACAACACGCTCCTTTCCAACGCAGTTCGCCCGCGGTACACTTGTAGTGAAGCTCGTGACGACTCTTTACCTTGGCAGAGGATGGGTCCGCTACGGTCAAGAGGTCCCTGGCATGCTACCTTTCAGCATCTCCTCAGGGCGGCTGCGACTCGGCAGAAGTCGTGAGATACTCCGTTCTACAGAACAAACTTCCTCAGAAGTTGTAGGGCATTCGCCTGGTGATAGTCACAGCGAGGCGCTGTGACCACAGCAGAGATGGATGACTCCATCAGACTGGAAAACTGAGTCCGAAGTTCCACTCAGCAGTGGACAAACTCCAGAACTACTAGAGCTGAAGAACAGAACTTCACTCCAGAACTACTCCACAAGACCCCAGAAGACTCAGAAGACATTACTCCAGAAGACTCCACAGAACCTCAGAAGACTCAGAGGACTCAGAAGCCTAATAGTTCCAGGAAGTGTCGACTTTTAAAGAGTTCTGCTTCCGGTCACTTTTAGTAAGTCCTGATTGGTTGAAGCAACCAACAGGGGTGTGGTTCTAGTGATGTCAAAGGGTTTTTACAAGTCAAGAAAACAGCAGAAATGTTTAGGAACAGACAGAGAAATGTTTTGGCGAAGTGAGAAACACTGCAGGTGCCAGTTTTCTTATTTACTGTCTGAGAGGTTTAAAAACACGACAGCTCGTTCTAACAACTTGTTTTTGACTGTCTCCGACTTTTGACCGACATCACTCTTTCTCATTTCAGACAGAAGATCAAAATGCATAATTACTTTGTAAAATAGACATTTAACTTGATTTCTAATTTAAATGAGGATTAAAAAATCATTAATACTGTTTCACAGTTGATTTAAAATGAGTGGTTCACTTCAACATTTAAAAATGGTATGAACTAAACTCACTTTTGATTATCAAGATATTGTAAAATAGTGATGATAATATAAAAAAAGAGTGTTCTTTCAATTGATTAGTTCAGGATACAATTAGAAAGTCTCTGGATGAGCTAATTTGTATTTCTGGATTCAAATCAATGAAATAACAGTTCATGTCCCATGAAGGTCCTCAGAGGCAGGTTTTGATCGGAGGCCTAGTCCATTACACAATCATGTCTTAAAGACATACAAACTTGGTTGACCCTTAATTTTCTCCTTTTGAACACTGACAAGACTGAGGTTTTGGTTTTTGGAACTGAGCACCTTAGGAATGATTTTTTCAGTCTTTCTCCCTCCTTAGATGCATTAATCTGTCCTCCAGCTCTAATGTTAAAAGTCTTGGTGTTATTTTTGATCAGGACATGTCTTTTATCCCCCACATTACAAATGTTACTAGAACCTCCTTCTTCCACCTGCGTAACATCACTAACATTAGAAACATCTGATCTAAAAATGATGCAGAAAAACTGGTTCATGCATTTGTCATGTCTAGACTGGACTATTGCAATGGTTTATTATCTGGATGTCCAAATACTTCTTTCAAACGTCTTCAGTTGATCCAAAATGCTGCTGCCAGAGTTTTAACTGGAGTTACTGGGAGAGATCATATTTCTCCAGTTTTAGTTTCTCTCCATTGGCTTCCTGTCAAATCCAGAATAGAATTCAAAATCTTACTTCTAACCTACAAAGCTCTCAACAACCTAGCTCCATCTTATATTACAGATCTTGTTGTTCCATATTTTCCTAACAGAGCACTTTGCTCTCAGGCTGGAGCTTTACTTGTGGTTCCTAGGATTTACAAAAACAAAATGGGAGGCAGAGCTTTTAGTTATGTCTCCTCTCTTTTGGAACCAACTTCCAATCTCTGTCCGTGAGGCTGACACATTATCCAGTTTTAAAACGAGGTTTAAGACTTTCCTATTTGCTAAATCCTATAGTTAGGTTCGGCTTGGGTTTCCTAAGCTGTCCCTTAGTTATGCTGCTATAGGCTTAGACTGCTGGAGGACAAACTGACCACAATTTTCACTCTACTTCTGTCTTTAGTTACTCTGCTCAACCTGTTTTGTATTTGTAATTTTTTTTTCTATCCTTAACATGTGTCTTTTGTCTTTCATGTACACTTGCACCTATATCTGGACCTACCATTCTATGTTCGTCTGTCTCTCCTTCCTGTCCTCTCAAACCAGCCGGTCAAAGCAGATGGCCGCTTGTCCTGAATCTGGTTCTGCTGGAGGTTTCTTCCTTTTAAAAGGGAGTTTTTCCTTTCCACTGTTGCTACTGTGCTTGCTTAGGTTGGGAGACTGCAACGAAGCCAAGATTCAATTTGTCTGCTGGATTCCTTAGATAGAGAACTTTACTAATTGGCTTTTTTATGTACAGTGCCTTGCAAACGTATTCAGCCCCCTTGAACTTTTCAACCATTTGCCACATTTCAGGCTTCAAACATAAAGATATAATCCCAACATTTTTCAGTCAGGTCATCTGGACAGTTTCTTTCTTTGTGCTGAAGCTTTTCACCTTCGATCCGGAAGACTTCATTAGTCAAGGAAACACACAACAAAACTGATTCTTCCCCCAACAGCTTACTCAAAAGTGGAACAAACTAGTTCTGCTTGTGATAAGATGGTCTCTTTGGTACGCCTCTCCTCCATTGCCGGCCCTCTTCCTTGTTGACAGTCTTGTCAAACTAGTTGAAAACAACAAAGTCCATGCTCAATAATCCAGGTATAAAATCCAACATTTTGAACACAAAACACCTGAGTGAAAAATGTTGGAATTCTTGCCCATTCTTCCTTGCAAAACAGCTCGAGCTCAGTGAGGTCGGATGGAGAGCGTTTGTGAACAGCAGTCTTCGGCTCTTTCCACAGATTCTCGATTGGATTCAGGTCTGGACTTTGACGTGTTTCTTAGTTTATATCTTAGATCTTATGACTGTTTTTCATCTCAATTTATACTTTTGTTGGATCTATCTGGGACCCTGTGTACACAGTTACATACCACCACATGTACCACATGTGGTGCGAATGACAAATAAAGAAACTTTGACTTTGACTTTGATCTTCCACTTTCTTTTTCTGTCCCTCAGATTTGCCTTTTTCTTTTGTCCGTCCCCTGCATCCTAATTGTCTTAACTGAAATTTTAGCCATAATGTGTCAAAATGGTAAACTATTTTCAAGAGACTAAAACTATGACTTTTCTTTGCAACTTTTATACTTTTCAAAAAATGTCTTTATTTACAGTTATTTCTCTCACAAAAATACATTCTGCTGCTTTCAGCTAGGATTTTGCTAAATAAATATTTTAGTCACCGTTTTTTCTAGTTTCAGATTTTGGCTAACATTTTGGTATTTTTAGCTTTTGCTACCCTTTCCCCCCTTACATAGCATTGTTCTACATTTAGCTTTTTGCTAGTGTTTTGAGTGCTTTTATCGTTAAGCAAACCTTTATCAACTTTTAGCTTCTAGGCATTATTTTATGTTTATTTTTTTCCTCTTAATACATTTTATTTTTAGCTACCCTTTTGCTAGGCTAAGCTTTTAGGTAACCTTGCTACTATTATCCAGCCTTGTTCTACATTTAGCTTTTAGCTTGTGTTGTGCTTTTTTTTAGCTTTCCCAACTCAGTTGTCCAGTAAAGCCCTTCAGTTTTTATCCTAAACAGAAGACAAACCCAGTCTTGGCTGGACAGCAGTGACAGAACTTTGTTGGTTGTTGGGTTTGTGCAACCACATCTGTCAGCATGGTCGTAGTGATCCTCTGTGGCAACGCAATCACTTGTTTGAGGCTGAACGCTGTTGCAGCGTTTGCCTGTCTACTTACTGCCTGAGCTGATGCCATAACTTGTGCTTTGTATTGTTCTCCTTTTTGTAATTGGTGTAACAGTCAACTGTCCGTTGAGACTTTTAAATTCTCAGGATCCATTGAAAATGAACAGAAAGAGTGTGAATAGACACCCTCAGACAAATTTTTGGGTCATCAGAACATTTAAATGTTTCTCATACGAGCAGACTGAAAGTAAGCAATGTGTTCTGTGTCTCTGCAGTGCCCGGTGCTGCTCCTCAGAACATCACCTTAGAGGTCGTCCTCTCCAGGGTGAGTAGAACAGTCTCTTATTACTTCCTGTTTCACCGCAGAACATTTGAGAGCGCTGAGGTCAGTTTTGTCTCAGCATGTTTGGGTTTTGCATTTGTAAAAGATCAAATTGAATTCAAAACATATATGGTGAATATTGATATGGTAGTATCTTAGAGTCATCCTGAACAAATAGTCCAAGAGCTACACATTGTGACGAAGTCTCAGGAGAGATAATTTAATTGATATGGTTTCACCAACAATATACCTGAAAATGCCTGAAAAATGAAAATCCTACAAATACTTAACGTGGAAGAAAACTTTATAACATTTAAGAAAGTTGCCATAACATGATTTTACCCCGTTTCTCACATAACAGGCATATTCCCTTTTGATCTTGGCTCAGCCAAAGTGCAACAGGAAGTGACATCATTGGGGAAATTCCTGTTCTTTGTTTATTGGGAAAATCTTATTTGAACTTGTGTCTCCGAATGAGACCGAAATTTATTATTTATTTATTAACCTTTATTTGACCAGACAAATCCCATTACGATCACAGATTTCTTTAGCAAGGGAGACCTGGGCCTGAAGGCAGCCTAACATGCATGTTTTTGGTCTGTGGGAAGAAACTGGAGGACCTGGAGAAAACTCACGCAAGCACAAGAAAAACATACAAACTCCACACAGAAAGACCCCAGGTCCAACTGGGATATGAAGCCAGGACCTTCTTGCTGTGAGGCAACAGTGCTAACCAGTGAGCTGTCATGCTGCCAAAACAATCAGTCTGTGTTGTCAGCCATTGTAGTGATGCTCTATGACCCAAGTTCAAGTTTAAGTAGGTTTTATTGTCATTTGCATCACATGAGGTGGAACAAAAATATACACAGGGTTCCAGTTACATCCATCAATAGCAAAGATATGAATTGTAAAAAGAAACAATAATAAGGATCTGATATAAACTAACAAATATGCTAAACACTAATAGTGCAGAACAATACACTATATCCTGATGCATGCTCAATACACTATACACTATATCTTTTTTCTTCTTTCCGCACCCATTGTGTTTTCTTTTGGGCGGCTGTGGCTGAGAGGTTAGAGCAGTCGTCCTCCAATGCAAGAGTTGGGGGTTCGAATCCACCAGCAGTCACATGCCGAAGTGTCCCTGGGCAAGACACTGAACCCCTCACTGCCTCTGATGTGTGTCCCATCAGTGTATGAATGTGATAAAGCACTGATTAGTCTCTTTAGAATGATTTGTTCAATTAGCTTTGTAGAGATCTAGTATAGAGCTGTATGAATGGGTAAATGAGGCACAGATTGTTGTAAAGAGCTTTGAGTATCTTGAGCAGATAGAAAGGCGCTATATAAGTACAGTCCATTTACCATTTACCATTCTTTTTAATGAATTTTTCTAGCATGAAGCTGCACTGCTCTAACTGTGACCCGTGACCCTTATTCATCTTCCAGACTCACCATGAATCGTGTTCTTTAAAGTTAAATTTGACTTCAATAATGATTAATGTTTTTCCACACATTTCCTGGACACAGTCAGCTACAGTCTGACTAATGTTTATCTTATTTCTTCCTATGCTTCTAAGAAAGAAAAAAAATCATTAATGACATTTGTTTAATTTGATTAACAAGTGTGAACATGAATAATTTTGATTGTTGTTTTCAATCATTATAATGAAATTGTGAAATATTACAATGTGAATAACATATTTCTCTGTTCTGTTTTCAGAAAGTCATTATTCCTTCAGAGACACCTGTGAAAAAGTTCTTTGAGCTGGAAGCTGTTTTGTTCAGAGGGGAGCCTCAATGTTCCCAGTCAATCAGAACAATCTTCTCAGAGCTGATGTTTTGCACAAAGTCTCTTTGTGTGAAAGACAGTTCGTCTTGGACCCCCGAACTGAGCAGTTTGTCTCTGGCCCCGATCCTGGTGGTCTTGCCAAGGTCCACTCGTTCAACTCCTGAGCAGATAAACACGTCACTCAAATTACAATTGTTAGAAGTTTAGATAACCACAGAAGATGAAGCCTTTTCTCACTGCAAGACTCACGTTCTCGGCTGAAGGTTGTGATGGACGGTGCACCTTCTCATCAGCTGTTCCCTCACAGACCCCTGAAGCTGTCACAGTGACGGTCAGCTACCTTGGGCAGTTCCCGGCGAGTCCTCCTCATGGTGTCTCTGGTCTGATCCACCAGAGAACCCCAGAAAGACGAGTGGTACCATCAACACTGACCCGGTAAGGAGCAGAACCTGGTGACATGATGCAACTCTTGGTCTGGTTATGCTATTTGAAGCTGATGCAACTTGATAAATCATTTCCTGCTTGCAGTGACGATAAATGACTTTATCTGATCACATTAAATCACTTCTTTCAACCAAAATCCAAAGTAAACTATTTATTAAAATGGTTAAACTTTGTCTAAATTCATGCGCGTATAAAACTGAAATAATTCCTGCTCAAAGAGTCAATTTAGCCTCAAATAAGAGAACTAAGCCTTGATTGATTAATTATTACTGTTTGTTTATTATTGGTGGTGATTTTTAGTTTGATTATTTTTGTAATAAAACTTCAAAGACAACTTTGGTCTCTTCATTCAGATGAATGTTCATGTGTTCTGGTGCAGAACTCCCTGTAATGAACAGATTCTACTTCAGTGACTGATTCTGATCGTTAAAGGGTGAATGTATTCATGAAGTTGTTGTTGGTCAGTAAACTGAGCAGCTGGTGCTCCACTTTAATGAGAGTTAAATAAATTAAATAAATGTAGTGGAGGGGAGAAAGTGTCGCCCTTCTTCCCCCATCTCACATCCTTCATATTGCTACAATTTGTTTTGTTTATTTCAAATGAATGAATAAAAATAAAATAAAAAATATACCGAACAACAGCAGTACGAACGTGTCTGTGTGAGTAGATGAGTATGAATGAATAAAGCAACATGAAATAATCAGCAGCATGAGATCATGAGCATGGATAACCAGCATCACATATCACCAATCAAGTGGCATTACAATGATTTTTTTCCCACAGTGATAATCCTGATTAGGGATGTATGAGTCTAACAGCCTCAGGGTAGAAGCTGTTCCTCAGTCTAGTGGTTCTGCTCTTAACGCTTTGCAACTTCCTGCCTGAGGGGAGTGGGGCAAAAAGTGTGTGTGCTGGGTGAGCAGGGTCCTTCATGATGCAGGTGGCCCTCTTCCTGCATCTGGATGTGTAGATGTCTGTGATAGTAGGGAGACTGACTCCAACAGTCTTCTGTGCAGCCTTCACCACTTTCTTCAAAGTGTTTTTCTGCAGATGTGCAGCCTCCATGCCACACATTGATGTTGGAGCACAGGATGCTCTCCACTGCACACCTGTAGAAGGAGGTGAGGATGGAGCTTCCTAGTCCAGCTCGCCTCAGCTACATGAGGAAGTTGTTGATGATGTGCTTTCTCGATGAGGCTGGTGGTGGTTTTGCCCCAGCTGAGTTTGCCATTCAGGTGCATGCCCAAGTACTGGTAACTGAAGACCACTTCCACTGCAAATCCTCCTATATTCTTCTATATCTCTATGAGGCAACAGTGCTAACCACTGAGCTGTTGTGCTGCCATTGTTGTCTAGGTCATTTACTTTGTGAAGATTAATCCTCCTGAAGTTACTCCTTACTTCTCCTGAGGTCACACTGAGGAACACCTCTTCCACTGGAGATGGTGAGTCTGGTGCTGGGTGGTCTGTTTGGGTCTTCAAAGTGTGCATAGAACCTGTTGAGAGCATCAGGCTGTGATGGCTTCCTAGGGCATTGTGCACCCCTGCTTTTATAGTCTGTTATGCACTTAAATGGTAAATGGACTGTACTTATATAGAGCCTTTCTATCTTATTTCAAGACACTCAAAGTGCTTTACACTACAATCTGTGTCCTCATTTACCCATTCATACAGCTCTATACTAGATCACTACAAAGCTAATTGAACACCATTCTAAAGAGACTAATCAGTGCTTTAGATCACATTCATACACTAATGGGATACACATCAGAGGCTATGAGGGGTTCAGTGTCTTGCCCAGGGACACTTCGACATGTGACTGCTGGTGGATTCGAACCCCCAACTCTTGCATTGGAGGACGTCTGCTCTAACCACTCAGCCACAGCCGCCCCTTAATGACCCTCCACATGCTCTGTGGGTCCTGTGAGGAGAAGTGTTCATGGATCTTCTGTGCATATGTTGCATTGGCCCTCTTTATACCAGCATCCAGCTCTTTCTTAGTCTTCCTCAGTTCCTGTGAGTTGTCAGACCTGAAGGCAATGTCCCTGGCTTTCAACGGAGTACAGACCTCTGCATTCAGCCAGGGTTTTTGGTTCAGGTAGCACTTCACAGTCCTGGTGGTGGTGACATTATCGACACACTTGCTGATGTATTTGAGAACAGCAGATGTGTATTCCTCCAGATCCAGCTCTCCTTCATTTAAACTGAGGGATGCTTGTTTTGCAACAAGCTGATGCTATCATGAAGCTGCAGGGCATCTTTAGCATTAGTGTCCGGGTCTATATAGGCGCCAATTATATACATTGCTGAAAACTCACGAGGTAAATAAAGCTTCGGAGCAGGAACTGTTTATCAGGACACAATTTGTGGACCAACCTTTGTTTACGTAGATGCACACTCCGCCTTCCTGTGTTTTCCCTGTTAGCTTGGTGCAGTGGTCTGCCCGAAAGAAAAGTCTATCATCCAGCAGGAATGCTGAGTCCGGCATGTTATTATTAAGCCATGTCTCTGTGAGACAGAGAACAGCACATTTTCTAATCTCCTCTGAGGCACTCACTCAGTCAAAGCAGATCCAGCTCATTTTCCAAGGAGTGAACATTGGACAGAAAGAGAGATGGGATTGGGAGTCTGTTAGCCTTATCATTAGCCTTCAGTCTTACTGACACACCAGCCTGGCTTCCCCTCTTTTTCCCCCAGGCACAGCACCTCCTCTTCCCATTAGAGCACTGCTGCCTCTACGCTGATGTCCGTAGAAGCTGCAGT